CTGGGTGGCTCAGTTGATTGGAGTGTTGTCCCATACACCAAAGGCTTACAGGGAAGATTCCTGGTCAGGGCACATACTACCTACATTGTGCGGTTTCAATCCCTGGTCAGGGTGCATACGGAAGGCAAGTGATCAATGTTTCTTTTCACCTCAGTGTTTCTCTTTATCGCTCTCTCAAATCAATAAGAACATCCTTGGGTGAAGATTTAAAAAATAAAGTCAAATTACAGTTGGCCCTTGAACAACATGGGAGGCAGGAGCACCGACCTTTGTGCATCAGAAATCCATGTTCAACCTTTTTTTCCCCCCCCTCTCCCACACTCCCCCATTCAATTTTGGCTGCCACAATCAGACAGGCAAAAGCACAATGACCCTTTTTTCTTGCATCTGCACTGGAACCATAGCAGCAGAGAGTACTTGCTCCAGGTCTGTCAAATAGATGCATCGCATACAACTTTTGACTGTGAAAAATTCAGGTGTCCCTCGGTAACTGTGGGGATCAGTTCCAGGCCCTCATTGTTTACCAGAATTCACAGAGGCTTCCTAGTAAGTGCCCTCTATAAAATGATGCAGATCAGCAATTTTCAACTGGTGTGCTGGGCACACGGGTGTGCTGCAAGAACTTTTAAATATGCAATACCTGACTATTTAGTCAGGGGCACTGACCTCTTTTCCCTTAGATTGTCAAATTTAAAAAAATGACAACAGCCAAGACAATAGCTGTCTGGTATGAATGCGTCAAAATTATATCTATTTTTTTTTGTCAGATCAGCAAAAACTATGTTTTTTGGTGTGCTGCAGAATTTTAGTAATTAGTTTACATGTACCATGAGAGATGAAAAAGGTTGCAAATCGCTATCGTAGATCAATGCATATGATCAGCCCTCCACATCTGTGGACTTCCAACTATAATTTGGAAATAGTACAGGTATATATTTTATTATTTATTTATTTATTGTTTTTTTTTGTTTTGTAATTTGAGTGTTGCACTTTATTTATTTTTTTAAATTAAATCTTTATTGTTCAGATTATTACAGTTGTTCCTCTTTTCCCCCCCCATAACTCCCCTCCACCCAGTTCCCACCCCACCCTCTGCCCTGAC